ACATTTTCTCTTTACACTCTTGCCCACGCTGAGAGAGACAGTCTTTTTGTCTCATGTATGGATGTGTCTGTGCACACAGATGCACATTCATACGGTCTGAATTTATGCACACGCTCATGCAGAGGTAGATAATCATGCAGAAATTTGCAATATGCGTGCACATTAATGTGCACAGTATCCAAACTTCCAGATATAATACCAACCAAAAAAATCAAATCAGTATTAAGAACACCGAGCTGCTGAGGTTACTTAGATTTAAGGTGGATACTTGCATTTAAGCAAGAAAACGATTGAAAGAAAGAGCAGGACCGGGAAGAGGAAGTGAATAACTACTTATTACTGCCAATTGGCAGTAATATAATATACCTGTAATTAACACCTGTAATGAGAAAGGTGTTAACGATGAGTTCTGGGGGTGAACGAGGAAAAGGAAAAAACAGAAGGGGAGGATCGCATAGGTCGATGTTGGAAATGATTTTGGGATTTTACGCGTTCATATAAAGCCTTGGTTATGTTATAAAAGCAGGCATAAACACAGAGGCATAATATAAATGCAAAGAAAACCATAAAGTGTTCACTGGTGTGGGGTTGGTTCAGAACGGCTGCTAATGAGAAACGCAGCCATAGCTTTGGAGCGGCACACAGATTAGAGGAGGGTTACCCTGGTAGTGTAAATGCTTTACTTAGCATTAATATGACAGTGTTACAAGCTACAGTGAGTGCAGTCTAATCAATAGTTGTATCTAAAAGGGGACGAGCTTTGGTTACATCTGCAGCAGATTCACGAGTGCACGGGCTTTATTGTGGATGGCTTCTCACCTCCTATACAACACTTATCCTGTTAGGCAGAGAATACAGTGTTGTCATTGCTATTCACAATAATGGAAATCAATCCCAACATGACTTTCAATTTATTTGCATGAATAAGTAATGTGGCCTTAATTCAGCTTGCTGAAGGAGCCGAGCCGCCGCCGCTGCCTTTTTTATGCCACTATTAGCATAAGAGAAGCTCATTCTTTTTAATCAACTAATAATGAATGTTAAGGGAGCCTGTTCAGACCGCACCATGAGACCTCACACACACACAACCTGATGACCAATTAAAACAGCCATTCCCAGTATCATGTATTCTTCCACTGGCTCTCTGGCTTCTTCTCTGCCGATGCTGATTATTTTCGGACTGACAGGTAACACTTCATTATTCACAATCACACATTTAACAGAAAAACACGTTTTCTCAACCCAATTAGATCTGCATCGAAATTAAAGCCGTTTGCTTTCATTTCAGTTCCCACAGACTTCAAATCTAATGCCCCCTCTGTAATAGTTTTATTAAATGCAGTTACAGGATTCGAGCTTCCTCAGACCTGTTAATGTGCAGAATAGCCCCGCACGCCAGCGTAAGAGAGCGCTAAGACGGCAGTTACGTTTTCACGCAGGCTGACGTTTCTCCCGAGTTCTTTCCGCTCGAGAGCCGTTCCCGCCCTCCCAGCTTCCCTCAGCGTTTGTGTGTATTTTAAACTCAACAAGTCCATAAAAACTCTTCCTCCCGGCTCTGCACGTTTCCCGTGTCACGTTTTGTTTATGTGCTTGAGGCAAGACTGATCAGGTTTGGATCAAACAAACAAAGAAGAAACACCACCCCATTTAATTAATACTTTTTGTGTGTTTCGGAGCCATAAAAACACTCCTGCAGTGATTTCAGTCAGTCTGTAACATCACATAATGTTTAAGATTTAATTCTATTGGTTACACCTCAGAATAAGAAAGTTAAATGAGGCGGGGCTTGGACTGAAGTTTAACATACTGAACCAGGTTATATGTTTTTGGTTTTTTTGGCTTCACTAAATCAAACAACTTTGAGAGAGGAGGATAACAAAAAGGTGCTTCTGCAGTCTTGTTTTAGGATCAGAGCAGCCTGTTGCAATAAATAAATGTTCCTTCTCTCATTGATGCTCCTTAACAAAAATCAAAGGGTTCATATCTCCAGCATCTAGAGCCCGTTTGACTTTGTTCTGATCTCAGAGGATTTTCTGAGTGATGACATTATTTTCTAAGAGGATTCATGACTCAGCAGGAAGCGTTTTTGTTTAACTAGTGATGTTATTCTGAAGCGCTGTCGTCACATTAGTTACAAGACTAAAGCTAAAATCACGCTTTGCTGAGGTGTGCCAAAATCTGGGCTTAGAGGAAACATCGATTACAGTGCGTGAATTGACTTATAAGTTAAAGTTAAAAACTGACCACTGAAGTAATAAAGCCTGATACAAAATAACCGCTTAGTGTCAGGTTAATAACCAGCGTGGAGCCTAAAATGCATTCAAGCTAATGTTGATTATTATTGAGCATATTTAGCTGTTTATCTTTCACTTTATTCACATGATCTGAGGTGTTTTCAGCACAGGTTATGGTGCTGGTGAAATTTCCATCTTTTATATGTGACTAATA